AGCTCGTTCCAGAGGGCCGGAGCTGCAACAGAGAAGGCCATCCCCCGGGGAGTCGCCAGCTGACATTGGCTGGCAGATGGAATCCGGAGGAGACCCAACCTGTGCGATCTAATTGGTCTGAGAGAGAGGTCTGAGAGAGGTAATCGGCAGGAGGCGGTCTCTCAGGTACCCAGGTCCGATGCCCATACTTTTGATCTACCTTTGATCTGAACTGAATTAAACCGAGGCTGGTTTGCACAGGCTTCATGTCATATTTAATACATTTTGAAAAGCTCACCCACAGTTCATGATTATCATGAAGACCTTTGCCGTTCAATCATGAATACCTCAATATCTTTGCTTCTTGCAACTTCTTCAAAATTCTCCTGCTGCTCCAGCGTTTTGTCAACTTTATCGTCGGTCATACAGAAGCAGCGCAAATTGGATTCCACAGCATCGTTGGTTTTGGCAAAAATGACAAATTTGGCCATGTAAGGGACACAGATCAATTCCCTATATAGCTGTGTGGCCAACCCAACCGTTTCAAGAACTTGATGGCAATCTGCTAACCAAAATCTAGAGAAGGGAAAAGGAAAGAGATTGATTAAGCAGATAGATAGAAAGCCATAAACAATGAGTTTATTTTCATACATCTAGTTCAGAGGTCTCCAACCTTGGCAATCTTAAGTCTGGAGGACTTCAACTCCCAGAATTCCCCAGCCAGCTAAGATGGCTGGGGAATTCTGGGAGTTGAAGTCCTTCAGGCTTAAGGTTGCCAAGGTTGGAGACCACTGATCTAATTCACAAGGACGTGAATTTAATAAATATTTCATCAGAATGCCAATCAAATTATGACTCTTTCTCTATAATCAACATCTGTCTAGAATAATGTGTCCTGAAGGTAAATCAAGAGCCCCACAGCTTTTCTTGAATTTTAGTTCACTTTCAGATGCTTTCCCCCAAAACTGGAAGTGCACAAATTAGATAAAATCATGTTTCCTTTCTTTTTCTTATCACTTCAATTGCAGTTTGGTGCACATCTGGATTTTCCTCCAGAGGCCGACCTGGGGCCTTTGAGTCCTCCCAGCTTTCTTTCTGGTGGTTGCCCAAGAAGCTTATTAAAATCAGAGTTGCAACACTGGAGGATGGCTTGCTTTTTAAGTGGTCTGTGCACAAAGGAACAACAAGTGGCAATCTTTCCAACTACTTCATGGCTGTTTGTAAGTGATGGAGCTGTAGTCCATGGGAGCTGCTTGGGTAATTTAGGGCCATTCTGTACCTGCCCCAGAGGGCTGCTGGTAGGAAAAGAAAATAGGAACAAGGAATGCAGTTGATGAGCTCTTTGAAGCAAACTATTCAAAATTGCTGTTGCCATCCAGAATTGCATTTTGTGAAATGGGCAGCTATAAACAATTGATTAATGAATAAATAAATATGTTCAGGTAAGCGAATGAGATCTTCCCTTCCAGATGAGGATGAAGGTAATCTGCTTTTATCCTTGCTTTTTGTCCTACCTGGCTGAAACATTGGTTGTGAAGGAGACACAATCATTCACAAACGTGAGAGGGGTGGTTCCTGTGATGTCTTCCCACTGTGCTGGTGAAGTGCCTCCTGGAGAAGAAGACAACAAGACACAAATCTCTTTTAAGAAAGAATCTCAGCTTTGGCCCAGTCTGGAATTGTGCTTCTGTCTGAACCAAAAGTTATGAGCTCCCAAATCCCACAGCCCTGGATTCCTGGTCTTCTCTTTCAGATGGAAACCACTGAGTTTGTCCTCCAGAATATAGAATAATAGAGTTGGAAGGGGACCTTGGAGGTCCAAGCCCCTGCTTAGGCAGGAAATCCTACACCATTTCAGACACTCCCTGCCTGTGGAGGATGGAGAGGTGAGGACCCTCTTGGGAGGACTCAGCCCCAACCTCGAAATAAATGTAGCTGACTAAGGAGATGCTAAAACAAAGAGAATTAAACAGTTGGTAAATATGGTCTCTGGGTATTGTCCAAGAGCAACACTCAGTAAGGACACCTAGAAAGTCTAGAGACATGCTTGTGCATAGATGATAGCAAGAGACAGTGACTGGGAGTGTGGGGAGGAGATACTTTTACTCCAAAAATGTAAAATATTTTAAACACTGTTCAGCAAAATATTTAATCTGATCTCTGCTGAAAGGAAAATATGTGTATCGGAGGTCAAAAGCATCAGTCAGAAAGTTGCAGAAGGAACACAGAAAATGTAGACTTTAAGACAGGGGTGTCAAACTCAAGGCCCATGAGCCGAATCCAGATCGCAGAGCTGTCCTGGTCTACCCAATGCAAACAGGAAACAGGCCAGCAGTTTGGGGAGTGGCATCAAACTGGCCACACCCACCTGGTTGGCCACACCCACCTAGTTGGCCACACACACACACATCCCTGAGGTCAACCCCAGCCCTAATGTGGCCCTCAATTAAATTGAGTTTGACACTCCTGCTTCAATTCAGCAGACTTCTTGGAAGTTTCTGCCTTCCTTCCTGCCTGCCTCCCATGGAGTTAGGTTGGCCAGAAGTTCTAACCAAGCAAGCATGTCAGTTTCGGTCTATCCTGCTCACCCCAGTCACAGTGGGGCTGGGGAGAAGCGGCCCAAGGCACCCATGACTAACCGGTGTGTGTGTGTGTGTGTGTGTGTGTGTGTGTGTGTGTCACACGACCATTGGAAGAAGCTGCCAGAGGGTGTGCAGCTCACCCTAAGGAAGTGCATGAGCCCTGCTGGGTCTCTCACCTGTGATGCTACACAGCAGTCGAAGGCTGGGTGTGGTGTCGCCTTTGTACCCATTGGTCACTCCTTCCCCAGAGGGTGGTGGCACCGGAATTGTCATTGTGATGGGCTTATGAAATTTCCTTCTTCTGGGCTCCACTGTGACAATGGGGCTGAAGGTGGCTTTGTTGCCAAGGATCTTCTTAACCATTTCGTCCTGCACTGGTTGAGCCTATGATTAATTCGAGAAAGGGTTTTCAATGGCTATGTGCATTGTTTTCCAGAAAAAGTGAGCTGTCTTCTTTTTTTCAAACTGAGAAGGCTGTGTCGTCGCCTGTCAAACTCACTAAACATATTCATATAAGCTAAGATTAAATCTCAGCAACTTCAGTGACCACACAATATCCTTGAGCCACAATATGGGATTGGTTTTCTCAGGATGGTTTCTGATAGTCATCAAATTCCCTCCATGAAGCACTAATGATGCTATACTATACTATATATATATGATCTGACCAAGTTGCCCAAAAACTCCTGAACCTTAAACATCTAGTTAAGGTAAAGGTAAAGGTTCCTCTCGCACATATGTGCTAGTCATTCCTGACTCTAGGGGGCGGTGCTCATCTCCATTTCAAAGCCGAAGAGCCAGCGTTGTCTGAAGACGTCTCCCTGGTCATGACTAAACACCAAAGGCGCACGGAACTCTGTTCCCTTCCCAACATAGGTGGTTCCTATATTTTCTATTCGCATTTTACCTCTTTTCAAACTGCTAGGTTGGCAGAAGCTGGGGCAAGTAACGGGAGCTCACTCCATTACACTGTGCTAGGGATTCAAACCACTAAACTGCCAACCTTTCTGATTGACANATAGGAAGACTAGAACTATAAATTGTTGACCTAGGCTATCGATAGGTAAAATATTTTACTTTTCCTCCTTTTTATAACTTTCTCAGTCAAGGACAGCCTCCTGGAGCACTCTGGAGGCCAAAAGCAGTTGCGGGGAGGAGAGGGGAGGGGAGGGCACGTCCCATTTTTGCCAACAGAGGTACTGTGGCCTGGTCCTTTGCTATTTCCAGCCCAGCCCAGCAGCCCAGATCTAAGCACCCCCACCAGCTGTATACAGCCCCCGGGCTTTGAGTTAGACATTGCTGCTCTACAGAGTTCTCATCTTGTATGGCCAAGAAGTATTTTCCCAGCTGGTCTTTGGTGTCTGATGTGCGGGTTTTAACAGCTGGTGCTGGGGGCAACCGTTCTATGAACTGGCTGGTTAATCCTTCCGGTGGGAGTTATTGGGAAGGAACAATACTCGCTTATGGCCGTCTTCGCCATCTCGCACAATTCACAACTATTTAATCTGTTGTGGGAATCTAGAGATTGAGCAGCGCTGCAAAGATCAAAGTGCACTTTTCATGCTGCAGAAATGTTTCCTAGTTAACTTTTAGAGGGAAGGAAGCAAAGTAATCTCATTCGGAGCGATATGAAAAGAACTGCCCCTTTTCAAATGCAGCTGCCCAATCTCTATTTCATGCATGTTGGATGCATCACCTAAGAAGATGACTGTCACCATATTAATAGTGCCTCAAACAATGTTGACATTTCGTGGAACCAGACAGTTTATTCTAGACTTCTGTACTCCTGGAATGAATTTAAATAAAGCTGTCCATTTGGGATAAACCAGTAAACAAGGCTGACAAAGATTAGGAAAGGTCCTGAAGAATAAAGCTGTACTGTACATCTTTTTAAAAGCCTCGTTCATATTTTGATTTGGTGGTAGGAAGATTATTTTTGCTTTTAGCTCTAATTATAGATACACTTTTGAAGGGAAGAAGAGGAAATGGAAGCTACCTTGTAATTATAGCAAACATGTCTAAACATTTAAAAATAGTCTTCAAAAACTTTGAGAGGATTATTACTAGCATTTGAACAATACATTTCCTTTTTTGAAGGGCATAATATATCTTTCAATTTACTGGGAAATCAAATCTTGCTTAAATAGATCTGAAATTCATGAAACGTGAGTTGTTTTGTTGACACCTACCTATTTCTCTGTCATGCACCTAGTCTAATTAATTATCAATTGCTAATTTCTTTGTAACAGTTAATACAACTGGTGCAGGTATGAAAAAGGAACCCCTAGATTAGATGTTCATCTTATAAGATAGTTGTGTTCCATAATGTAGTTTTAAATCAAAAGTCACAACTTTTGAGCTCAGAGTTATTCAGTGGGGGAAAAGTCAGCAGATGAACATGGAGGTTGAGTTCCACTCCTTGTTGTAATCCTAGTATATAGTATTCTCTGAGCCTCCCTCTCTACTGATTCTGGCTCACAAAACATGAAGTGTTAGGTTATAAAGCAAAATCAGCCACATCCATGAGCAGAACATACACATCTCTACTAGCATTTGAAGCAGTTTCCAGGGTTCTTATTAGTTAAGAGGAATGGAGTCAGAATTTGCATCTCTGTCTGTCTGTCTGTCTGTCTGTCTGTCTGTCTGTCTGTCTCTATCTATCTACCTACCTACCTACCTACCTACCTACCTACCTATCTACCTACCTATCTATCTACCTATCTACCTATCAATTATCAATCTATCATCTATCTCTAGATATACAGGAAATGAAAAGGTTTTTCCATACATCCAAGGCAAAGGAACTCACAACTATTTCAGTTCCTCCAAATACACCCAGTTGAGTCATGGTTGAAACATGTTTACCACATTGTGGACTAGAAGGAGAAATGTTTTGACTTCTAATCCCAGTAGCTAATCTCAGAGCAAGATAAGAGGTTTGGCTCTGGTATGAATCAGGATCGTCTAATTATGGAACAGGACTACTCACGGCTTTAAATGTTTAATTGAAAAGCCATCTAATTACTTATCTTGATATATCTCTCTCTTGCTCTGGGCTGTTGAAGTGGTGCTCAAGCACAGGTCAAAATAATCTTTTAAAGATGTTAGTTTCATTGTTTTGCTATCAGAAGCATCAACTTTATTGCTAGGCTTCCTGTTCTGTATCTCTTGATTACTTTAAGCTGTTCTAAGTGTTGGTGGCAGCACAATGGTGGTGCAGACATTCAATAACAATAAATATCAAATTCCACAGTTGGTATGGAGGAAGTGTATGTCAAGGAAGGTCACTGTGAATAGATTATTCCCTCTCCTCCAAGGCGCTGCCTGGTTTCACCCTGAGTGAAAGAAGGGTAGTATCCAAACTACTTACCCTGAGTGGATGGGGCTGGACACAAGATTAACATTATCCAAGGTCTCCGCAGCCCAGCTGTAATGCCGGAGGGAATCCGAGTCCACTTCTCTAGGTAATGCCGGGGGCTTCAAAGACATGGCCAACAAGAAACAATTAATTCACCCCAAAAATAAACAAAGATTCTGTGCTTTATGACAATCAAGTCTTTGAAAGTTTCTCTGGAAGAAATGGTCGTGGTAGCCGTGATTGCTTTACATTGGATGGATGCTTTGCCAGCTTTATTTACATGGTTAGAACTCTTCTCTTCTCTCTCATTAGCTTTGTCTGATATCTTTCCTCCAAAGAAACCTCCCTTCTCCACTTACCATTGTTGCAACACTAAGGTGATTATGCAGCGATTGTCTCCCAAATCTCTAGGTTGAATGGGGTTTTGGACCTACATCTCCCTACACAATGCCCATCCATTTCCTTTGTCAGAAGAGAAATGCAAGGAGGACAAGAGATTTCATTCTGCCCAGGCACCAAACCCCTACCTCTATGAGCCAATGGAATCAAACTCATCAGCAATTGCTTCACTGCAATAATATTATCCTATAAGACAGGGGTCGGCAACCTTAAACACTCAAAGAGCCACACCAGTCCTAAATGGAATCCCTCCATTCAATTCTGCAGCTGACAGGAAGTCTGTTTCCCCCACCATAGAATCTCCTCCTAGTGCAGCATCGTTTTTCCTCTACCTGTCCTAACCGAAAGCTCTAACAATTGTGGAGCTGACCGGTGACAGGGAGCTGCAGCAAAGGGATGAAAGAGCCACATGCAGCTCCAGGGTTGCTAACCTATGCTACAAGTAAATGGATGGCTCACCTATAACAACGTGTCAATGTTAAGAGACAAGGGACATATACCCAACACACAGCATGACTGGCACGAGGCCCAGGGTTCTCCCTTCCACCTCTCTTGATAATCAAGGGGAGGGAGATTCAAAATTTCTAACGCAAATCGTCTGCTATTTCTCAGAATGCTTCTTTTCCTGCATGCTGCAGAAATGGATGCGGTCAGCCAGAGAACTTACAAGTTCAGATTGGCTATGGACCAGTGGTGGGTTTCAAAATTTTTTAGAATCTCTTCTGTAGGTGTGACCTGCTTTGTGGGAGTGGCTTGCCAGCCATATGACCGGGTGAGAGTGGCTTGCCAGCCATGTGACTGAGTAGGAGTGGCTTGCTGGCCATGTGACTGGGTAGGTGTGGCCAACTTGTAAAATGTTTTGAAATTCACTTAACAATGCTCTTGCTTAGCAACCAAAACGTTGGCTCAGAAACTCTGACATTTGAAGCACGCAAGTCTTAAAGCTGTCAAGTTACAAGACCCTTGCACCCTTAACCCTTTAGAGAAAATAAACCCCAGGGGTGTTCAAACTTGACAGCTTTAAGACTTGTGGACTTCAACTCCCAGAATTCCTCCTCCAGTCATGTTGGCTCAGAAGCTCTGGCATTGAAGTGTTGCAAGTCTTAAAGCTGTCAAGTTACAAGACCCTTGCATCCCTAACCCTTTAGAAAANAAACTGCCAACCTTTCTGATTGACAGGCTCAGCGTCTTAGCCACTGAGCCACCGCATCCCACTAAACACCAGTTACAATCCCATAAGAGACTCTATTTCCAGGATTCTAGAATAAATTTTGGGATCATTCCCCACATATGAGAAGCACACAATTCTTAATATCCTTTAAAAATCCATCCTGAGAATACAGTTAAGCAGGAGATATACATTGTTCACGGCAGCATAGAATATAACATTAGCTTTTCCAGATCCATGAATCACCTTTCCAGAACCTCAAAAACAGCATGCATTGTATCATTTCTGTAGGCAATGTGAAATTTTCCTGAATTCCACTTTAACAATTAACATTCATGACAGGTATCAGTCCAATGAATGCAGATTAATGCCGAGCCCTTGTTTCAATTTACTTAGTGTAAATTAAATCAGTTTCACCACCAAAGGGGGGGGGGGAATCTAAACAAAATCTCTTTGGGGTGATAGAACAAAAACTCTTCTATCCATGTGTCGATAAAATAAAATATAGTGTTTCATTTCATTATGAACAGAGTTGAGATGCTGGGTAAGATTCAAAAGGTTAACCAAATGTTAAGAGGGAGAAAATCCCTTGTGGGACTTTTAGGAAGCTGCACTTGAGGGAGATGACTGGACGACAGCTGCAACCTCTCTTCTCTCTCCATGGGAGGTGAAGAAGGAAGTCCTGCGTTGTCTGCTCACCAAGATCCAACTGGACTCAAGAGGGGACCTTCCCCTCAAGGTGTGCAGAAATGGGGCTGCTATGCCTGAATGGAGCCAGCCAGGCCCTGACTCAAGCCTTCTCCTCCATCAGGTTTCTCAAGACCAGAAGCTGCCTTACCTGGAGGCCCACTCGAATTCTTTTTGTCAATGCGCCTTCAGGGAATGCAGCTTGGACCCGAGGCAGAGTGGTGCTGCTTAGAATGCCTCCTTCCGGCCCAATCTGGTTGCTCTCTTGCTTAATTCGCGAAACCACCGCAAAATACTGAGGGAAGTCCTTGGTGACGATTCTGCAGATCCGCTTCTTCTCCAGCTCTTCGACACTGTCCAGCTCTAGGAAAGGAAAAGGGGCTCAAGACTCACCTCCACATCACCACTCAGATATTCCCCCCCCCCAGAGAACCCCTTTACTCTGTCAGCCTCAAAGCTCTCTGAATTAACTTTGGAGCGGGCGGATTTCAGTTTTGCAAGCACTTCTTCCATTTCTGTTTTCAAGCTTGGTTATTAGGCCTTTTCTCAGAATGTCTTTGCTTGAGAAGAATTACAGGACTCCAGAACAGACATTCTATCTAATTAACATTGTACTTTTCTCCCCAAGTAAATTAACAATTTATTGTTAAAACTTAAAAAGTATCCTATTTCCCTGAAAATAAGACCTCCCTGGATAATAAGCCCAATTGGGCTTTTGAGTGCATGTGCTAAAATAAGCCCTCTCCAAAAATAAGCCCTCCCCCAAAACATTGCTACACAGCCCTGAGGTGACCATATTCACCACCTCCTGCACCTCAAAAATAATACCTCCCCGAAAATAAGACCAAGCGCTGATTTCAGGGGTCAAAAGAAAATAAGATCCTGTCTTATTTTCAGGGAAACATGGTATATCCAGATTTTTCAATACCAATACACCAGGATATATTTTTTTAAAAAGTTGGGTTTACAGTTTAAAATCACTTTCTTTGACTCTGAAGCATTGGACAAGCACATTTGGTAGCAATACCCATCCAAATAAATCTTAAGTGGCTGAAACTGCACAAGCTTATTTTTAAAAAAATTCTGAGCCTTTTAATAACATTTGCAATCTGCCTGATTTTTTAACTCTCCTCCTGCAATATCTGCTAGATTGTCCCTTTTAATATCTATCTTGGCCAGTAGATGGTACTCCACTCAGGAAAACCATGTTGGCTTTAACATTTAAAAAGGCAACGTGAGAAGAATATTTAGCAGGCAGCAAAGAACCAGAGAGCTGGGAGAGTGCTCAGGGCATAATGCTTATTTACACATGTCTTCGTTTGAAGGAGCCCTTTCTCACAGAAAGGACTGAGGCGTTCTTGGAGGCTCCCTAAGTAGGGGCTCAGAACACCAGTGATCCAGGGATAAAACCAGAAACGTTAGAGCAAGGGGCCCCAACACCCCAGTCTGTGGACCAGCACTGCGCCACGCCATGCCAGAAATCGGGCTGCGCAAACAAGCGAAGCCTCATCCGCTGAATGCAGGCAGCATGCGAAACCACGCCCCCTCCCGTCCGTGGAACAACCTTTATCCACAGAACCGGTCCCTGGGCCCCAAAAGAAGGGTGAAATCCTCCCGGTTTACTAAGAGTTTGCGAACTGGTAGTAAAATAAAAGCTTCTGAGGATCACTCAGCTCATCTGTGAGCCACACAATAGTCGGAGGCCTTTTCCCCGCTTTTTAAAGCAATTTTTTCCTGCCGGTTCGGGCGAATAGGCAGGAAGAAAATGCTTTAAAAAGTTTTTTAAAAAACTTGTGATGATCGTCGCAAGCTATTTTTAAAGCTTTTTAAAGCATTTTTTCCCCTGCCGGTTTGGGTGAAGCGACAAGGAAAAAATGCTTTAAAATTCTAAAAAAAACAGCTGAAAGTGAAAAAAAGTTGGCCATTCCCACCTAGTCACATGACTCCCCCACCAAGCCACGCCCACAGAACTGGGGGGTGGGGCAGGAGGGTAATAGGATTTCACCACTGCCCAAAAGGCTGGGGGCCTCTACATTAGAGAATATTACTTGTGCTGCTTAGGGAGCCCTATCCTGTTGCAGACAGCACAAAAATATCAAACAGATAAAATGTCAGCATCGTGTTAAAAAATATATCACAAGTTGTAAAAAAAAAAACACGATAGCAAAAATTGTAATTGTGATGGTCAAATGGTCATCCTTTGTTTCTACTAGAAGAGAAAACTGTAGAGAGGGAAATCTGCTCCATTTTTTTCTCCTGCACTTTTTTTCCGATGGTCCCAAAGGGAAGGACGGTACACATTTTTCACTTTGGCACCCTCTCTGTTCTGGCCAGGGACCTTCGCCATTACCTTCATTCATGCCATTCAGGATCTCTAGGAGGTTCTCGTGCTTGCTATCGTACTGATGCTCCTTCCAGGTTTCCCCATTTTCACTCCGCAGCACGATCAGCTCTCGTTCCTTTCCTCGCATAGATCCGAAATGGGGGATTTCTACCACCACTGGACTGCATCAAAGAAAGAGAAAAGCCACTGAGGCCGGAAGACTCTACCCACGGCAGCTGTGTCTCCGGGGGTTGGAAACGGGCTCGGTTTGTCGTTTGGTTGCAAGCGATTAACAACTGGCAAAGCCACAAAACCTTTCCCGCTTGACCTGCCAGTAACCGTTTGATTCACCCCAATGCCAAACTGAGGTTGAAAGCAGACGCGGGAGTGCTGGCAAAGGCCGAGTCACACGAAAACAAGAAGTTACAGAAATACATATAAGCAAATGAAAAGAAACTTTTGGAAGTGGCTTATGCAGAAAGAGGTCATAATCAGGAGATGTGATCTGGCAAGAAAGATCTGCTGTGACAATGTCAGTTTCGAGGAAAGCTTCTTTCTGCACCTGAGCTGCTCTACATCATGCAATGGATGTTAACGTGACAATATATATGTATATTTTTCTGCATTCATAATTTCTTCTGCTTTGGGCAAGCGTGAAAAGAAAAACACAGTGCAAAGAACCCAAATGACTGAGAATCTTATCCAGTACCAGCCTGGCCTCCTCTTGAGACTCTCCCAGCTCTCTCCCTTTCTTGGCCACGGATATCACTGCAGCCACAGAGGCCACCATTTTACTTAGTAGCTCCCAAGAGTTCCCGCTTGGCTTTATCTTTTGTGGAGCACAACTTAGGTGGATGGGTAGGAGACAGATAAATAGAGAGATGGGTGTCTTTGAGTAGGCAAACAGAGAGAGGGCTGGTCCTGCCCTTATCCCAAATGCAAAATTTACTCAGGGTTAGCATGCCTGTGTGTGTGAGGGAGAGAAGGGTGAGGGTGGGAGGGAGAAGGTGAGACTGAGGAAGAGGGAGGGAGGCAGGTAGATAAAGTGAGAGGAAGAGGGAGAATGGGGGACAAAGAGAAAAAGAGAGGGAGAGGGAGAAAGGGGGAATAGTGGGAGGAAGAAGAAAGGGAAAGAGAGAGAGGGAGAAGGAGGGGTGGAAGGGAGAGAGAGAGAAAAAGAGAGGGAGGAGAGAAAGAGGTAGAGAGGGGGAAAAGGGGAGGGAGATGAAACAGAGAAAAAGAAAGAGCAAGGCGAGACAGAGAAAGAGGGAGAGAGGGAGGGGAAGAGAGAAAGGGAGAAAAAGGGAAGAGAAGAAAGAGAGAAAAAGAGGGGGAGGAGAGAAAGAGTGAGAGAGGGAGAGGAAGAGAGAGAGGGAGAAAAAGAGGGAGAGAAAGAGGGAGAGGGAGGGAAAGAGAGAGGCTTTTCACTCTGTGCCTCCAAATTCTCTGCAAAGAGAGATGGCAAAGATACAAAATAACCAGGCTTCATTTCCTGGTGAAGAAGGAAGGGACCATTTCAACCTCTCTTTTCTGCCTAGCCTAGGAACTGCCCAGAAGGGCAAATAGGGAGAGGTTGTGCAAGTCTCAAGAAAGTGGTTTGTGCTGCAGCCCACAGATTTCCCACTTTGCAGAGAAAGAAACCCTCTCTGAAAAACAGCCTCTCGGAGAAGAGCCACCTTGCAGACATGCTACTTCTGGTTTTTTTCTTGGATGGGGAGCAGCGTTTTCTCAGCAAAACGCTCGAGATGAAATCAGACAACGGAATGATTGCAACTAAAAGGCAGAAGATGCAATGAGATGCTTCAGTCCCACTGAGTTCCAGGAGGCTCATTCCATAATAACCACATCCTGGATTGAGCTATCGGGGACCCACCACCTGATGTTTGGACCCTGGTTTCCTCCCATTCCTTTTATTTATGTATTTGTTTGTTTTTATTTATTTATTAAATTTGCTGGCTGCTCATCTCACCACAAGGTGACTCTCCTTTATGCAATCTCCTGTGGGTGTTGTGCCCCACCAGTGCCCAGTGGAGCTGGCTGCAGATTCGGACAGTGAGGAGGTTAGGGAGGAACATGGGCCAGTCCTGGAGTTTGGGGAAGGCTCTGATGAGGGCTCTGTGTCAGAAGCAGAGATGGGACCAGGGCCATCTGACAGTTATCAGCTGTCTTCAGAGTCAGACATCAGTGAGGCAGACGAACAGCTGGAGTCTGTTCCCAATGTACGAATGTGCAGAGTTGCCAGACAAAGGGAACAGCTAAGGAACAAACCACAGGTGGATGATGAATGGCCCCTCCCAGAGGGAATAAAAGAGGAGCAAAAGGGGAGTGGAGTTTGCAGGAGACAATGAATTCATTTCTGCATTCTTGCCAATTATTGCGGTAGACTCTGAAAGATATCGGCCTGGTCACTCTCCAAGCCTAATAAAGATCAGTAATTGTGAACTATCTTGAAAGACTGTGGGAGAGGAAAGACTTTGCTGGAGAGGAATTCACTGTATATTCAATAAAAGGAGTTTATTGGGATGAGGACTCGGCTTTAAGCTGCTGGGGAAGCCTAGGTCAGAACAGCTGGTTTTATAAAAAAGATAAGGTTTGAACTTGGGTGACAAGGGGGAGATCAGCAAGCTTCTTCTTGGAGATGTTTTCCAACCTCCAAAGCTATTTTACAACCCAGAGATTTATTTACTCAACAACATTTATATAGCTGTCCAAATGATGCATGGTGATTCCACGGGGCTTATACCATTAGAATTCTGTAATATTTTTTTTAAAAAAACCCTAAGACCAGTCCCTGGCTCAAGGGGGACAATTAAAATTAAATGTTGACCAGCTATGAGAGGCTGGCCAGATTCTTTTTCCTCTTCTAGGACCATCTTCCAATAGACTACAATAGGTTGAGTAGGAACTCTGCCATGGGCTGATGGCTGTAGGAGAGCAGCTCTATCTTGGGAAGGGCAGGACATGATCAAAAAAGCCAAGATGGGGCCACTATAGAAATAGCAATAGTCCTTAGACTTGTATACCGCTTCACAATGCTTTACAGCCTTTCCTAAGCGGTTGACAGAGTCAGCCTCTTGCCCCCAACAATTTGGATCCTCATTTTACCGACCTTGGAAGGATGGAGGGCTGAGTCAGCCTGGTGAGATTCGAACTGCCAAACTACTGGCAGCCAATGATCAGCAGAAGTAGCCTGCAGTACTGCACTCTAACCACTGAACCACCAAGGCTCTTGCTGTCATCAAAACTCTAACTGTCACAACATCATGTCTGCTCTCTTCTCTTTTTTGACCATACGCTGAGGACACCCCTATCTGCCATTGTTGTAACTTACCATGCCAAAGTGAGTGAAACTGGTGAGCTATGTACCCTCTGGCTCTTTCCCCAAATACCAAGAAGCAGGTGACTTGCGGAGTCACACAACACAGCAGTCCTGTGTAGCTGTATACAGGGGTAAGCTGCTGGGGGTTCGCACAGGTTCGGGCGATCCTCTAGATAGGATTCTGCCCAGTTCAGCAAATCCAAAAATGCCACCCCTGGCTGGCTACACCAACCCCACCACACCCCTCCCAGGAGTCTCCTCGCGGCCCATTCATCATGCCAGGTAAGTGCAAGGCCCGTGCAGAGGCTCGGGGAGGGAGGTGGAAACGGACCTACTAGAGATTCCGGAAGTCCAAAAATGGGCCTGTTTCCGGCCTCTGGAGCCAGGGGGAAGCAGTTTTCACGCTCGAGAAAAGCCTCCGGAGCCTGGGAAGGGTGAAAAATGTCCCCCCCACTATGGTGCAGGAGGCCGACTAGGCCACGCCCACCCAGCAATGTGGCAGCAAACCAATCGCTGCAATTTTTGAAGCCCACCCGTGTATGCACATCCTGAGTTAGCTAAGTCCTGTCCCTCTTCTGTAACAGACATCATAACTCAGAATTGCAAACCCTAGTGTGGGAACTAAGCAGAGGCACCCTCTTCATTTCCTACATGAAAAATGTAATCACAGAAAGGTAAGCATTTACGGATTATGCAGCTTTAATATATTTCAATCATTTCCTACTGAGCTTTATAGGTGGGAAACAATGACAACTCATCATCTTTTACAACCACGGAGCATCTGACCATGCTGGGAGCAGGCAGAGAACAGTCAATCAATAAGCAGGATGGGACACAGATTTCCAACTTCTGCATTTCCAACTAGGGCATTAGGAACAAACAACAGCATTTTTAGGATACCCTCCAATTAATTTATCCTCTTTTACACCACCAATTTTATTATTTACATGCTTAATGCCATGAGATGGAAAGGTTCTTACAGTAACTCTACTTAAATTGTGCCTTTTCTTATTCCCCCCCCCCCCAAAAAAAAACACAGATTATTATTCAAATTACATGACTGGAGGAAAACAGCAACATCTCCAAGGGCTGATGCATTTGGTAATCTAACTTAACTCGGTGCTCCCCATGTACCAAATACTGAAACACACCAACAAATACCTTCTGAATACAATCTTTCTTTGTTCGTCTCTCTCTGGATAAAGCCCACATAGTTATGTCCATGAATAGAAACGAAACTCACAGGGAAGGTAGGACAGGGACTCAACAGAGGGCTTGGAATAGCAGGGTAGATTAAGTTTCACAACTGTGGAATACCAGCTGTCCATATATTTAAGGAGTTTAACGATTCTAAATATGAATTCTTTTCAGATCAGTGCAAAGGGGTAGTGTCCCTGTGTGTGAATTATAAATATAAACACTTGTAAATTACACACACACACACACACACACGCACACACACGTATAAATTATATACATATATTAATGATTAACATTTAAAAGAGAGTGTGTGTAGATATGCAACTAAATATGGAAGAGCTGGAATGGAAACAGTGAGACATTTAATATATGGAGCAGAAGCTCCTCCTTTGCTGATAGGATTAACCAATCTGCCACTCCTCGTCCTTTCAAGGATTGTCTGGCTGCATTCACACTCACACAACAAATTTCTCCAGGCAACTTAAATATCTACACAATAGTTTTTTTTCTTTTAGTTTTAATTGGGAAACAGGGGTTTGGTAGCCTTGAGCATTCTTCAAACCCAACCTATTCCATTGGGTTCGGCTTCCATGTGCCGCCTGTAATGCAACCACCAACCCAAACAATGAGGAGTATCTTCCCAACTGGGTTTTCTCCCGAGAATTTGAATTATATGCGAGGTCTTAGCAAGGGAGCTAGAGGGGCTTTTTCCAGGGAACAAGGAGACAAAGAAACCTGGAAATTTGCAGGAAAAGGGCAAAGGCAGACCCACCCACCTCCATGCACCAGATTGCAGGGTACATCTCATAATCTTGCAGATAAGTGCTTTAGACTGGCAAGATTCTGTCTATTGATGAGCAAAGCAATAAAGAAACTACTCAACATTTCTTTGCTTTGAATCGGAGTCGTTCTTGGTTCCTTTGGCCTGACACCATCTTAGGTTTCAATTGAGTCATCCTTGTATTACAAATATTACTTGCTGAAAATGACCTAATTTTGGCCATCTTCTTCCTCCACAAACTGACTTGTCAATAATTCTACCAGCAAGATTAAAATAAACACGTCTTTTTTAAAGGTACAGTTAATGTAGCCGAGACTGTAAGTAAAAGCTGTTCTTAAAAAAAAAATTAAGAAAAAGCACAGAACTTATGAAAGCAGAAATGCTTGCCATGAATTCAACATGCTCAAAGCACAAGATCAGTTGAACGGGAGCCATGTTTAGACTATCATCAAGCCATTATGGTTTCACTGCCTGTGATTTAAACCAACGGGAAGCTTTTGCTGTAACTGTGGTAGGGAACGTAAAAGAGATGGGCATGATCAAAACACAAAACCAAAAAAAAAAAAAAAAAGCAAGTCAAAACCGAAAACTAGAAAAGAGGCGCAGACAGTTGATATCTTCGCTTAGAAAGATCCTACCCAGTGAATTTGGTCCCTTGAGGCCCAAGCTGCAGGATTCGGCTAACCAGGCTCTCCCCCTCAATTAAAAGGGGAAGATTGGTGGGAAGATGCAGTTTACTAGTAGCATCCATGCAGCAGGAAGAAAAACAAGAGGGGATATTAGGAGCCAGAGGTTGACAGCTATAGAAGGCTTACTTGCAGGTTAATTCTTCTGCTCTTGGTGGGCAACAGCCAAGGAAGGAGGAAAGGTGGAAGAGAATGTTTCTTTAGAAGGGACAGGGTGTCTATGGGCACGGGCTGCTCTGCGCATGGGTGGGTAGCACTACCAAGGCTGATTGGAGCCCATGACAGAGGGAGGTCTCTGCTGAATGTCCCCCTTTCCGCCTTCCATCCCATCCCACCAGCTCAAGAGAAGCTCCCTCTGGGCTCCATGGGGAGTTTGCCTCCAGTGAAGCAACACACGTCACAAACAAGTCAACGAACACGCAGAGGGTGATCACAATAGGAAAGGCAAGGATCCAACTGATTAAGGAGGAGAAGCAACTTGAGTGATCAGCCCAGAGGGCCACTTACCCCAGGAACTGTGCCCCAGAAGGCCCCATCTCAATCAGCCGGCTGGCCAATCCTTCTCCTTCCACCATGGGTGGCGGGCTCGCCAGCTTGGCTCTCTTCACCAAGCGGCAAGTGATGCGGGTGGGAGCCGTGCACTTGCGTGGTGGGATGATGATCCTCATGCCGTGGTGGCGGCTGCCACGCATGGAGCCTCCCCGGGCATCCACCATAAAGCTGACCAGAAAACTGCAAGAGGAATGGGCAAGCTTCAGAAAAAGCTGGCATGGAGCAAAAGATCTCTAACACCAACTTAATGCACCAAGAAGGAAAAGCCTTCTGAGAACAACCGGCACGTATTGGCACCATTTGGGTGCAGGTCTACTAGAAGGAGGTGACATGGAGCCCACCACTCTGCTCCCTGGAGCAGCCAAAACCAATGGGGCTGAATTTGGATAGAACTGGGCAGCTGATTTCTCAGCAAAAGGTACAGATAATTCTTTGCATGGGAGATTATTTGGAGGAGAAAGAGGGCATTTATTTTCTCTTATTTTGATCCCATGATTGCATGACACTATGGCTAAGGATTGCACAGGCTCTCCTATAGTGAACTTATCAGTGTATGATTCATGCCTTATCAGCATGTGCAATTAATCATTTAACAGTTCCTTACACTCTATTTCTTCAGAAACTATCAGAGCAACGTGGATGCATGACATCTTTTTCCCCCTTAAAAAAAAAGGCTTTCTGAAGAAACGTGTCTCCTTCCTTTTTTCTTTTAAATCTCTCATCTTCAACCTGAACTTTGTGTTCTACTGCAGTTCCTCATAGTTGGTTTCTTAAAGAAAGCAGCCAACTTTGATCCCATTGCTGCCCCCATGGAGGATGTTCTGAAAGCTTTCTTTTGAAAAAGTCCTCCCCGTCTGCTGAGCTCAGAGGACAAAAATTAAGACCTCCTTGAGCCAAGCGCAGTTCCTGGTGACTTCATGGACATCCAAGTGGGCTTCCTTAGTGATAAAGAACCATTAGGAAGGAGGTTTGCCATCTTCAAGACTGACCTTCATCCTTCCAGACTAGCCTGCAGTTCCTCCAGGACTTCCTGGTGTCCGTCCTCCAGGTCTTACTCTAGTCCAGCCTGAAGATCAGGCAGGTTGATGGGACCAAGGAGCCAGACCACACAGGGCAGGGCAGCTGAGAATGAGTTTTTCTCAAACTGGACAAGGACAGAGGTGTGATGCTCCGTAAGCACGCTATCGGCCCTGTGTGTCCCCTTCACTCCTCTCAAATGGAAGGGGACACAATCAGAAGCCCATATGCCATGAAATCCATCTATCCCTCAGGCTCTGCTGGATTTAATGACGTTTATTGAAAGAGGTCAAGAGAGCTCCTATGAAAGCAATGGCAGGCCACTTCCATACGGTTCCTCAGAAAGCGACATGGACCTGTCCAGTTTCCATAGTCCATTCGCCCTTGGAGCTGCCTCTGCAAAAGAACTGCAGCTTCCATTTTGCCTACTTTAAAGAAGAGTTCAAACTGTTCTGGGTTTGTTTGCTTGTTTATTCCTTGCTTCCTTAACTTGCTTGGCACATTATTCTCAAGCCGGGTTGTTGTTGGTTTTTTTCCCTATCCTTTCTACATTCCCAGGCCTAAAATCTCAATGTGATTGTAGATTAAAAAGCTGCTTCCTTCAAATTCTTGATTTTTTTAAAAAAGGCTGAGGACCGATATTGAATTTATAGAGATGGAAGCATGCCAAAAAACCAAAAGCTACTCTAAAAATATGGTGCTTCTTCTGCCCAGGAATAAATTGCCAATTTATCACATGTGTTTTATTTTTTGCCTTGAGGCTGCAACCTGGCCTCCCTCCCCTATGTTGGGAAAGTGATTTTTTGATTTCTTCAAAAGATTTGGATGGCTGCCCAGACACCCAGCTGCAACTCTGGGCAGCTCAGAACTTCTCTTTCACTCCTGGGGAGTCAACCCCAGGACTTGCAGTGCAGCAGGAGGTTTTCTGGAAGAGAACTTCTCTTCCCTTCCCAAACCTTGACCTGTCCCAAGAACTCATCTTATTTTTAAATGGTTCCCTTTTGGTTTGTTTAGTCTAATCCACAAAGTTCCCAAGTTTGCAAGATCTGAAGGCTTTTTTAGGGTGTTTGCTAAACAATTCTCTCTGACCATTTGACTTAAACAACACTGGCCGTGTGAAATGTGAATACAGGCATGGTTAAGAGCTGATCATGGCTTGTTTTTTCAAGCTCAGCAAGTACCTGGAATGTGAGGCTATGGTTCCGTAGCTAGAAAGGCCAAGCTGCAGTTTGAATGTTGATTATTTTAGGAATAGTTTCTTTCTCTTCCATAGAGCCTCACTTGCAAATACAAGATTTTAGCAATTCCTCTAGCATTTCTGATTGACATGCCCATGACCCTTTGTTAACTAACCTGTCTATCAGTCCTCCTAGACATCAGACAATAATTTTTTTCATGCAGTTTGTATAAATGACATCAAGAGTTAGTGACCATCTAAATCATTATCAGACTAATGATATGAGTTACAGAACAATTTCTAAAGCACAATAATAAAGACATGTAGATAAAGGAGGAAAGTCCACAGCAGAAGGTGGAAAGACTGGAGACGCACTGAAACATCTACAGACATTGCAACTGGGGAGGAAAAATAAAATAAACACACAGAGAGGCAAAATGAGAAGTCACAGACAGCGTCATCACCTTGAATCATACTGTGGGAGTGGAGAGGAATAGCTGCAAAATAATTTAGAAAGCAAATTGGGGAAAAATTAATATGAGATTATTAGAAGCAAGCAACAAAAACATCAATCATAAACAAAGGCAGTATAACAAAAGCAAAGCATTTCAGTTGGGCCCTAGCGGGTGGAGAGAGATGGGGGTTATTTCCCTGTTTTAAAAGCAAAAGAGATTATGTGATAGCAATATGCATTTGGCTGAAATTAAAACCTTTGCTCAGAAATTGGATGGAGATGACGATCCATACTCTGGCACGGGATAGGAAGAAATAAGGATTGGTTTGCATTGTGCAAACATTCTTGAGACCTGGGTTATGTTCAAGGATGTAACGCCGATGGCAAAGGATGTTCAGTTGGTTTATGAGAGCAGTATTTTAAATGTTTGAGAACGCAAATTGTCTGAAACAATGCCTCACTGTGAGGGCCTATGTTTGATTTTGGCTTAGCTTGTTGTTTGATCTCGGCCCCTACTGGCTGAAATTCCCAACCGATGGTTTATTGAGCTTGCACAAATCTAGGAGAAAATACAGTGCAAATGTTCAGGATAAACTGCATTTGCAGCAAAGCGCTGAGGTCCTACCACTTGCATCGATTAGCACCGATTCTCTCTCTTCCTGTATATCTTGGATCTCGTGCAGAGATTAGAAGCATTTCTGCCAGTTTCAATTAGTCATGCTTTAGGGTTTCATCTGAATCCTAAATCATGGTTAGCCTTACAAAGTATTATGGAAAAACCCAACAAACATCCTATTAAATGAAAAAAAATATAGGGTGGTAGATGATCAAGAACTTTGAAGGACGATAGAAAGTGTTTAACTTAAATCGTACCAGACCAGAGACAGAAAAAGAAACAAGTGACCCAAAAATTCAAATGTTGACTATTTGGATGCCTGGATACTAGGAGTTTCCAATTTCTAGAGGAAAATAGTGAAGGTTTAACAGTGCAAGGTCACTAATGCTTGACTTTTAGCTCTGTGGGAAAACTATAAGGGATTTCAGATATAGGAGTGACACTGAATGGTTTAATGGACATGCTTGAGGGGGGGAAGGCAAGTGCATTCTTAATCGCCAGCAACTTGGGCGTGGGAGGGGACCGCCCAGAGGTGGGTTCCTACCAGTTTAGACCGGTTTGGCTGAAGAGGTAGTAGTAACTTGGCCTGCCACACCCCCAAACTGGTTCTTTCATCATTGGTGCCATCTTGATTTTCGCTTCTGCGCATGCACAGAACAATCTTCATTGAAAAAATCTATTTTTTTCCTTTTTCTAACTTTGTGCGCATGTGCAGACCTTTTTAAGTGCATATGCGCACACGCGCGGATCACATTTTTTGTGCGCTGAACTGGCAGTAATGCTGGTAGGAACCCACCCCTGGAACCGCTCCCCAGGGCCCCTTTACCATAACACTGTACAGCAGGGGTGTCAAACTCAATTTCATTGAGGCCCACATCAGGATTGGATTTGACCTTGAAAGACCAGATGGGGTGGATGTGGCCATGGTGGGCGTGACACAGGACCGCACCTCCGCAGACATGTATAAACTTATAAAAATAGGAAGGAGTAGATTTCTGTGCTTTTGGTTTTTTTTAATACTTGATCACCTTGTGTGTGTGTGTGTGTGTGTGTGTGTGTGAGAGAGAGAGAGAGAGAGAGAGAGAGAGAGGGAGGGAGGGAGGG